GAGCTACTTCCTGTGTGTTTGTCTTTATATAGTCTAGCTGTTCTGCCTTCTCATTGGTTGTAAACCCAAACACATGACTGCCTCTATAGAGACTTCCAGGTCTTCTATGGTTGGTATTGAGATTAAAGGCGTGTGTCTCCAATGCTGGCTGTATCCTTGAACACACAGAGATCTATCTAGCTCTGTCTACCAAGTGCTGGGATTAGAGGCATGCACCACCACTGCCACGCTCTTGCTATGGCTCTAATAGCTCTGACCCCCAGGCAACTTTATTTATTAACATACAATTAAAATCACATTTCAGTACAAATAAAATACCACCATACAGTATATACTGTGTGTTGTACGCATTAGTCAAAGACGATTTTTTGTTTTATGTTTTAGCAGGTAAAATATATATTACCTGTTTTGTAGTTTTTCTAGGTTTCTTTCTTTAAGTCTGTAATGAGGATTTTCAGAGGATTCTGCCCCTATAAAACTTGGTCCATATCAACCTAAAATGAATCCACATCCTCTCATTTCCTGTGGAAATAAAAGCATAACCTTTTCTCCAAAGTCATATACCTTTCCATTTTGAAGTCAAAAAAATTTTTTTTTTTTTTGGTTTTTCAAGACAGGATTTCTCTGTGTAGTTTTGGTGCCTGCCCTGGATCTCAAACTCACAGAGATCTGCCTGGCTCTGCCTCCCAAGTTCTGGGATTAAAGACATGCACCACCACTGCCCAGCTAAGATATTTTTAAAATATATAGATTGGTTTAATCTGGCAACTTTTATAATCAAATGTCTCTTAGTAGCTATCGCTTCTTTATCAGCAGTCAAAAAAATTTAAAGACAACACAATAACATAGGATCCAAACTCCTTGTGTATTTTCTATTTTTGGATGCCTTTTTCTTTTATATTACACTAATCTTTCTTTAAAGACTTTATTACTTTTACTATTTTTTATGACTGTCTATACCATTTCTCTTTTCTCTCCCGAGCCTATGTACATTTTAAACACACTGTAAACCACTTAGAGTTTGGGGTTTTTTTCTGTCTGGACTTGTCTTTACTGTGTATTATCAATCTTTTCTATATGCATAAGCAAAACTTAAATTCGCCATGCGGCTTAGTTTATAGCATTCTGGTGGGGCTCTTTCTGGCAGTGCTCACACTGGCTGCTTGGGCTCACAGGCAGCATCTCTGAGATGTACTTCTGTTCTTGGGTCAGCATGAGAGACATGAAACAAGGAAGCCATGTTTGGCTCCATTTTTGTGTGTTTAGAACCTTTTTTTAAAAGCTTTTTTGGGTCTTATGTGGATGTAGTTGCCCCACTTTGAGTGTCATATATAGGCAGACTTTTTTGTTTCACCAGCCAGTTGCCAAATAATCACATAGAGACTTAATATTAATTATAAATGATTGGTTAATAGCTTAGGGTCATTTTTATCTAGCTCTTATAACTTAAATTAACCCATTTTTATAAATCTATATGCTGCTCTGAGACTCATTTACCTGGTGTACAAAATTCCCATCCTGCTCACTCTGCATCTCATGGAAGTTCCTCACGGCTCCTCAGACCCTACCCTTCTTCTTCCCAACATACTCTCTGCCCCAAAAAATCCTGCCTAGCCATCGGTCAGTTAGCTTTTTATTAACAATAAGAGAAACACTTCTTTACAGTATACAAAAGGCTTATGCCACAATAATGTTGGATTTTGTCAAAGGCATTTTTCTGCATCTCTTGAGAAGATCAAGTGACCTTTTTGTCATTTGTATAATTTATTACATTTATTGGCTTATGTATGTTGAATCTACCCTGAGTCTCCTAAATAAAGCCAATTTGATCCAGGAGGATGACTATTTTTGATATATGCCCATATTCAGTTTGCAAGTATTTATTGAGGCTATTTCTCTTTTTGTTTATTGGGGATATTGGCCAGAATTATCATAATCATCAATATCATTAATATTATAATACTTTTCTTTCACCTTCTCTCTCCTTCTGCTTCTTCCTCCCCTCCTCCTCCCCTTGATATTGTTTCTTTACCTGATTACTTCTTCTTTAGGTAACACTAACTTTGTACATGAAGTTTGTTAGTGATTCTTCTGTTCCTAATATTTTTATTATTAATTTTTACATCCTGACCACAGTTTACCCTTCCTTATCTCATCCCAGTCCTTTGCCCCATCTCTCTTCTGCCCCAATATCCACTACTCCTCTTTTTCTCTCTAGAAGAGGGCAGATTTCTCATGGATGTCAACCAAACATGGCATATCAAGTTGCAGTAAGTCTAGACACCTACCTTTGTATTAAGGTGGGATGAGGTGATCTGACAGGAGGAAAATGGTCAGAAAAGCAGCCAAAAGAGTCAGAGACAGCCACTGTTCCCACTGTTAGGAGTCCACAAGAAGACCAAACTACACAACTGTAACATATGTGCAGAGGGCATATAAGGCTCAGTCCCATGCAGGCTCCCTAGTTGGCAGTTCAGTCTCTGTGAGCCCATATAAGCCAAGGTTAATGGTTTCTGTGGGTTTTCTTGTGGTGTCCTTGACCCCTCTGGCTACTACAATCTTTCCTCTTCCTCTTCCACAGGAGTCCCCGATCTCACCATAATATTGGCTTTGGGTCTGTATCTGTTTCCATCAGCTGCTGGCTGAAGTCTCTTTGATAATCATTGGACTATGAATCAGTCTATGAGTGTAGCAGAATATCATTAGGAATAAGATTGTGTTATTTAATATCCATGAGTTTATATAATTAATAGAGCATTGCTTGCTGTTGAATTTAAGCTTGTGATGCATGAGTTATGCAGAATACATGAAGTTATTTCAGTTAGTCTGAATCTGTTATGATTTGTTTTGTGTCCCAAGGTGTTGTCCATTGTAGAGAAGCTAAATGTATTATGTGCATATTTTTGTGTTCAATGAAATATTCTATAGAAATATTCTACTTGATATTTGATGCCATTTAATTCTGGTGTTTCTATTTTTTTTCTAAATGACTTTTCTACTGGAGAATGTGGGGTATTGAAATTACCTCTTATTATTGAATTAGTATTAATCTATGTCTTTATTTCCAGTATTTTTAAAAGATTTTATGTAACTTTTTATTATCATTATTATTAACCAAATGTTATTGTTGATGCTTTAATAAAAGACATTTTAAAAGACTTATATAACCTTTTATTATCATTATTATTAACCAATTGTTATTGTTGATGCTTTAATAAAAGACATTTAAAATATAGACACAATGGGGAGTTTGATCATTTTTCTAGTAGAAAATATTTTCAAAACACTAACTCAGTTTCACAAAAACAGTGGATTTAGATCTTCATCAGAGTGACCTAAACATACATTCAGTATGAAGTTTCCTAAGTCTTAAGTATAAGGTAATCTATAAAAAATAAAATAAAGCATGTTCTGAAGGGATTTTATTTATTTATTTTTTGAGAGCAAGCAAGTGGAACAGCACATAGGAGGGACTTGGTGTGGGGAGGGAGTGAGGCAAAGAAGAATAATAATCCAGTTCAATGGCATAGACCGTATTTCCAACAAGATCATAGAAAACTTTCTGCAAATTGAGGACAGACATACTCAAACAGATGGAAGAAGCACAAAGAACTCCAAATAGACAAGACTAGAAAAGAGACACTCACAAAATGTTATATTTAAAACACCAAATAAATAGAACAAAGTGGGGATCCTGAGAGCTGCAAAATAAATCCACAGGTCAATATAAAAGAAAGCTCATCAGTTGAACAGCTAATTTCTCAGTGGAAACTGTAAAAACCAGAAGAGTGTGGAGCAATGTATTTGGCCATGAACAACAACCTAGACTATTGTTACAGCAAAACTATCTGAATAACTAAAGGGGAATAAAATATTCTCCTTCTTCTATGCCTAAAAGTTCAAGATTTGGTGTTTCCACCATACACCACAGTTTTGCATGTTGCTTTCCTGTATGTGCCTGTCTAATTTTTTTGTATTCTCTGCTTGAATGGCCCAGTTCTTTTGACTTTTCTTTAAGTCCTAATATTCGATCATCTACTACATTGATTCAACCTGTCCTTCCCTTTTCAATTCCATCTTCCTTTCAGTTGGAGTTCCCTTTAATATTTCTTTCTCTTCCTGAATATAGTCTTCAAATTCTGAAATTGTCTTCATCATTTAGCAATACACATACACACACACACACACACACACACACACACACACACACACACACACACACACACTAGACATCACTCAGGCACTATTTTATGTTATTTGAGATGTATTTCATGTCTTCTTTAAACTCTTTAAATTCCTTAATAAAACTTTATGATTTTTTTTTAAAGATTTTGTGTCCTGAGGTTCATTCTCATTGTAAAATGTTTCTGTAAATGTAGTGGATTTGGTGGGACAGGGTCACATTGCTGAGGCTGTACATATTGTGTTTTAGCCATTTGACCAGGAAATGTGGATTTCTTTCATTGATTAGATTCTAGGGCACCTCAGAGTTACCCCAGTGCACAGGATGTCTTAAGGTTGGGATTATACAGGTGATCTAGGGTCCACTGGACTAACCAGTCTGTGCGAGCATAGCGGATATACGATCTGGGCTAGGCCTGAAGGTTGGATATGCCAGGGTAGGGTCAGGAATATTTATCAAACTCAGCTCTACTATTGCTTATTAATTGAAGTGTGTACTGATTAATGCAAACTTTTGTGAAGTCTAAGAACCCTAATGTAAATAAAAATTAAGCAAACTGTATCATAAATATTGTAATACCATACTGGAATAAACAAACTCCAAATCAGAAATTCAAACAAATACTAGGGGAGGATTAATATGCAAATAGTAAGATTTATTTAATTTTTTAAAAACAATCAAGGTCAATGCAGTCACCTAGACATGCAAATTCTATTCATTAAAACTACATTTTTATAAGGTTCTTGAAAAACCCAACAACTAAAATGTAAATTGAAGTTTAGAATTTGAACCACTGATTCCGGCGCATCTGAAGAAGAGCAAATGTTGGGAAGAAATCAAAGAAAGCTAATGGGGACTTGTTTTCAGATAAAGTTAGCTAGGTAGAGCTAGGAAAGATGACTGACAGTTACAGTGGAAGTATATTGCTGTTCCTTTACTCCATTGTGCTCTGGGGACCTGATTCTTATTTTCTGGATGGAGTTTCAGTGACCTTAGTCATGCAGACAAACAGTATGACCTTGGGTTTGACTCAACTCCATAAATGTGTCACAGAATTCAGAGGTCAAGGTCCAAAGGTATTATTGATTATGTTATTTTAAAAACTTTGGATGTAAAATATTTCTACTAAATGGAATGGTACAGAATGAAGGAATGTTTACTGTTTGGAATCATTTGAATGCATCTATACTTCTAAATTCCTGGTGGAATGTGACAAGCCTAAGTAGAAGAGATGGTCTTTCTTCACATGGCCCTGCTCATTTGTACTAGATGTTTAATGAATTTTGCCTTCACATTTGCATGTAGCATTACAGTTTTGTTTAACCAAGGGATAGTCACAGGTTACTGAAGCCTTCAAATCCGCACAGTTAGAATATTTATCTTCATATTCACAACTATTTGCTGGGAAAAAAAGAACAAAAATATTCATTGCTTTGTTATTATTTTCCTGTATTAACAGAGCCAAAATAAAACATATGAATTGGGAGAAGGGGATTAAGCAAATGAATGGATGACCTTTAAATTAGAGCTTTATGAGATGTCTTTAAGATGAATTAATATATTTCTTCACTCACAAAAGGCTTGAGAAAATTAACTTGAGTGATTCTTTGAGGAACTAAACTATCTAGAGGCTAGAAAGATGGCTCAGTAATTAAGAGTTTTTGCTCTTCTTGCAGAGAAGCTAGTTTTGATTTTCAGAATCCACATCATGGCTTAAGACCACCTGTAAATTCAGTTCCATAGGACCCAATGCTCTTTCCTGTCCTTCATGATCACTAGGTTCAAATGTATGTGTATAAATACATACATGCACACAAACATTTATAAACATAAAATAAAGATAAATACTAAAATAGAATCTCATATTTTAAATGTCAGACATTATGCAAGTACTTTCTAAACTTGAGTATGGTTAATATTTAAACTCTATATTCTCAGCAAATCAAGTTTCATTAATATTTTCTATAGCTACTGTTCCTAGCAGCGAGCCTCTTTATGTAAAAATACTGATCATTAAATCATTCCAGAATGTTCTCTTGTCCAAAATTGCCCTAGACTTTGATTCTGTTTTTCATACAAGAGGAGCTAATTTTATTAAACAGAGGCTTGGAAAAGTGGGTAATGGAGAATTTCCTTCTGATTATTAGATATTTATATTCAAATGTCCAGCAGTGACCGAAAACTCATCTGAAATTCATGACCCTACAGTCTTTGTGTATATTGACAGCTCATGAATCTTCATTCACCTCAAGCAGTCTCAGAGAACTGGAAACTCATAATTACCAAATCATTCAAAATAACTTGCTTATTCCTCTGTACTTTTGTTATTGTTTATTGAGACAGAGTCTCATTGTGTTGCGTAGGCTAGAATCTAGCCCATCCAATCACATATCTCTGCTAATTCCACCTCCAGAGAAGCACCACTACAGGCACATGGCTAGTCCTCTTTCACTTTGTGTGGTGGTTCTCTGCAAGCTTTCCAGCCGGCAGGGGAAAAAAATATGATCCATGAAGAGATAAGAATGAAAGTCAGCCTGATTTTACGGTAAGAGTGTTGGGCCAGGACTTCTAGAGTCTGGCCGAGATCATTTTATATTAGCCATGTTTAAGTCCAGCACAATTTTGGAAAAAAAGTTTTGTGATAACAATTAACTCAGTTCCAAGTACACAGCAATTGAAGACATGTTTGTATTGAGATTCTTTACAAAGTACATCTGTCTTCTTTCGTAAGAATGGGTACTGTTGACTCAGAGATAGTGTCCAGGATTTAGGGTCTAGGATGACGACTGAAGTAAACATAATCCCTGTGGGTATCAGGATTGGCCAGGCCCTAAGATGACATAGAAGTCACTTAGGCTGTTGAAAAGCACAAGTGACATCACTCATAAGAATGGGTTTTATGACCTAAATCATTGCTGAAGATTTACAGATGAAGGGTCTAGGAAAAGTAAAACAAATTCTGGGAGATACGGTGGAGCCTGTCTCATCGGACGGCAAAGGATCACCAGGGTGTAAAACCATGTAATTCCTGACATTCCAGAAAGAGCAGTTATGCATCTCATTCCACTGAAGAGATAAGGTATATGTTTAACTTTCCTGACTTCCCTGGTGCTTATCTGTGTGCACCAGGCCTTTTCGCCCTTTACACCTCTCCATGTCCATGTATATATTCATCAGCACTGAACAGGCACAGTTAACAAAAAAGTATTGTTATTCTACCTTCTCTCTCTGCAATCCATTCATGCAGTAGTGCCGAAAGTCTTTAATCCTAGCACTCGAGAGACAGAGTAAGGTGGATCTCTGTGAGTTCAAGGCCAGCCTGGTCTACAGAGTGAGATTCAGGACAGGCACCAAAACTACGTGAAGAATCCCTATCTCAAAAAATCCAAAAAAAAAAAAAAATCCAAACTAAAAACAGCCTAAACCACAAATAAGTAAATTTAATGACTACTAAAATAAAAGTGAAGATCTTTTCCTTTCTATTTCTGTTTAAAGTCTTTCAGTTGGCTGTTTGTTACTGCTAGGATAGACTCCTTTAAAGGCACATTTAGCAGAGCTGTGAATATTTGGCTCTCCCTTTTTTAGTTTATAATCTTAATTTCATTAGTACTTTGAACTTTATCTATGCAAATGCACAATAAAGAATACTGTAATTCACTGGAAAATGCACAAATATCCCAGCGAATTGCAACCAGAATTTCCCATGTTAATTTTGATATTATTTTCCATTTTTATAAATATCTTATTGCTGTTACAGTTCCTTTATGTAGTATGGGCTAACCTGGAGTTTGATCAATATTCCAAACTGGGTTTGAACTCCTGATGCTCCTTCCTCTGCCCCCAGAATGTTGGGATTACATTTATTCTTTGTATTTGTATTCATAATAATACTAAAAAGGAAATACTCTGACATTCATTTCAGTCCCTTCCTGTGATGAAATACTAGCATTTTAATGAACTCACAATATGTATAGATTTGATTTAGACTCTAAAAATGCACAGAAAATTGCTAAAAAGCAGAAAATCATGTAACTGATGACTAAATGGAAGGAGATTCAAATAACAATCTAGTGCCATAAGATAGATCCAGGTAATGGTATTTGCCACTCAGCCACTTGAGATCAATCTCTCACACCTTTATCATGGAAGGAGAAAACGAATTCACACAAGTTGTCCTCTAACCTCAACACACAATCATATACAGAAGCCATGGCACACATGCATGTGCCTGTACATATATATACAGAGAGACAAAAATATCCATTCACAAATAAATAAAATTGTACCACAAAATTAAGATGATGCTCTGGAGGAGCTTGAGAATTTACTGTACTAAGATCCTTGGTGAGCAAAGAATAGTAGTATATTTCTTCCTTCTCAGCTAACATGTGTTCTATTATCTCAACTCATCGATTGCTTCCTCTTCTTAAAATGCCAACCTTAAGATCCTACTGTCATTGGGGATAAGAAAATTCACTTTAAATTTTAGTGAATTATATCCATAGAAATATTTCTGTAGACTCCAATAGCAATAATACCAATATAGTAACAAATATGCACTGATTTTAGGTATTTCCTTAGACAACATAAAGTATCCTCTTTTTTAATCCTAAACACATGAAAATTTGTAATTCCAAAAATGATATTAAGTACATTTTTGTCTCTTGAAAATAAGGCCATGCTATTAAATCTTAAAACAGATTGATATTTTATATTATTATATTAGTATGTTAATAAAACTTACTGCATAGTCCATCTTCACAGTGATCAGGACAAAGGGCACACGGTTCTCCCACTGTGTAAGGGATGTATTGCCTTTCTACAAAATTACCACTGAAATTGAAATGGAAAACATCAAATACTTTCAATTTTTCTCTGTACACTCTAATGCTTGCACATATCACCTATATATCCATATATATATGGAATCAAATATATATATGGATTAATATTAAAGCTTTAGCTATGCCATACAAAAACCTAACATTTCCTAAGAGTATTCCAATATAGATGTGAAATAATGGGATAATTAATCCATTCCCTCTTTCCCTCAACCATCATCTCAAAACCTGAGCAACTTAAATAGAGTAAATAAGAGTTAAAGGTTATAAACGTGTTAATGTTGAAACACTCTCTTCATTTACTGATAAACCTGGAATATAACTAAGACAAGAATGCTGCTTAGGTATAAAAGATACTTCCTATAGAGAAAGTTACTACAGGAAAATGCTGTGATTCCTATAGTGTGGAGGAGGTCCCATTGATGATGCTGTGAGTTTCCGGTATTTAAGTGTGTACTTGTGAAAGACATCATGCTTAGGAACGTTTGGGTTTTTCTGAAGGTAGCATGTGGCTTTGAGACTTCTATGATTATCAAAAATGAGAATACTAAGGAGAAGAACTCTTTATATAAACTATCTGAAGGGTGCAGTACTCTGAAAATGCCAAGCCTACACCTCAGTAGGAGCATCACTTCCCTGATAATCATATGAAATTAGAAAAGTCAGATTCTCCAATGCACTAAGGGTGGCAGGGGTGTGTGTGTGCAATACCCAAGGGCTTGCAGCAGAACCTCTCCTCTATATGCAGAACAGAGCTCTAGGTGTATGAGCAATGTTAAGAATGAAAAAGTCAGAAAGCATTGTATGAGTTCTGTCACTTGCTCCTCTTCATTACTCATCTGACACTTGTAAATGCCAGGCTTCAGATACCTATTTGACCAAGCAGCTGGGTGAAGTCCAGTGGCTTCCTTCTTTGTATTTTACTTATAGTCAACAGAAAGATACTTGAAATTTTTTGAGAATCCTACTTTTCAACCCACAAACAGATTAGAAATGAATCATTTAAAAGACTTGATTTGAAGACCCTCAACCTCGTGTTGTATAAGTTTTTTGTACTAAAAGGGTAATAGAGCTGGAGAGATGTCTCAGTGCTTAAGAGCACATATTCCTCTTTTAGAAGACTTGGGTTTGGTTACCAGCATCCACATCAGGTGGCTTGCAACTGTCTGTAACTCTGGTTCCAAGGAATTTGATGACTTTGGTCTTCACAAGTGTTTAGGGTTGAAAACCTGGGACTAGATAACTTATCAAGAGTCTCCTCCATGAAGAAAATAGATACTTTCTCAACACCCATAGATTACCCATAGCTCCTTATCCAGGACAATATAGCCTTTTGCTATCACCCGTGGTTGTCTCCCTGAACTCAAAGATAAAACCCTATTTTTAAAAACATCATCAACTTCAGATACAGGAGTTGGAGGAATAGAGTTGGAATTGACCTGGAAGCCTCCTTCCTGCAGATTAGTTCTCATAGTATTAGAAGATGTTACGTAAGCAGCCAAGGGAGAAAATAACCATTAGTTTTAGCTTTCTGAAAAACCGTAACAATGACTAGCCTGCTTGCTATTTTTCAAAGCTTAATTTTTGTTGCTTTATTTATGCATGTGAACACCCACACACCCACAAAGGCCAGAACAGATCCTTAGTCCTAAAGTTAAAAATAGTTATGACCTACCTGACGTGGTTGTTAGGAATCAAAATTGGATTCTCTGCAAAAACCGCAAAAATTCTTAACCACTGAGTCAGCTTTACAGCCCTATGTTGCTACCTTCTACCTGTAAGAATTTATTACGTCTTAAACTTCAAAGGCTCTTTGAGAGGTCCTTAATATATTTCAAATAGTTAAAAAAGCTATTATCTTAATTCTTTTCTCCTCAGAATTTACTAAAAAATTCTGAAAAACCCATTCCCTAGACCTTGATTTTAAAGCCAGAAATTCACTTTCATTCTATGCTGTGTTTGAGCTCTTAACAAAATTCCCATGAAAAATGAACATATATTCATAATTTGTCTATTAATTAATTTTTCTTAATACTTTAATTACATCTGCATCTATGTTTGTCCATGTTAGGCTTTGTGCGTATACAATAACAAAGCTGAGATCATGAATTTGAGAGGAAGTGAGAGGTAGGAAGATTTGGAAAAGGAGAGAGAAGTGTAGAAATAATGGAAACACAGTACTCCTATATGAAATTTGCAAAACATAAAAAAAAATTTTTTTTTTAATTTTGAGACAGTGGTTCTCTGTGTTGGCCTGGCTAGCATTGAACTCACAGAGATCCACCTGCCTCTGCCTCCTTAGTGCTGGGATTAAAGGCGTGAACCACTACTGGGCCTCAATAATTAATTTTAATAAAGAGATACAAGAACTTATACAATCAGGGGTAGGATCAATTAGTTAGAAGCCCCACAATCACTAACCTGTGTCACTCACTCATGTTCACTCCTGGTCTATTATTAAAAATTTGCTTTGTAGCCTACAAACATAGCATGAACTGACAATAGGAATTCACAATCCTCATACTTGGGTCCTCATGATGTCACCATTAGTCCAGAAAACAGCAATCGAAGAGGGAAAAGAAATCATTTTTAAAGATAAGGAAAATGCTTCTGAGTGTGATTCATGGAACTAATGAGATGGACATTTCAAAGATTTAGTTAAATAAGTTTCATCTCTAGGGAATATTTAGAAGTTTTTATTTCCCTCTCCATGTGTAAAATATATCTTTAGTTTGTTTTTATACTATGATAATTTAAAAATGTCAAATTGCATTTGACATTGTTGAAAATGAACTTGGAAGTGGATACTTACGGAGGACAATACTGACAAACATAAAAGAATTTCAATGATTGGTCAGGGCACTCAGCAACTCCACATGCAACTTGGAAAGATGTATTCCAAACAACCTATAAACCCAGAGATGAAGACAGGGCACAGGTCAGAGAGGAAAATCATGCAGAAAAACAAATACAAAATTTAAAACACTGCTGGTATACTTTGTTTCTATATGCCTTATACACATATTTAAGTGATTGAATCAAACTGCAGATGTGAGAACCTCTCTAAGGGGCTGCTCTTGTTCAGCTAGTCTAGCAAAACTTTCAGGAAGCACTCAGTGGAGTTTATAGAGCTTGAGAGTGGCTTCAGCCTTCAGAGAAGCTTTCTTCTTCTTTGTCATCTTTGACAGTTTCCAAGATAACGAGGATGCAGAAGGCTGGGCTGAGGCCAAGGAGCTTTGTGTCAAAATGAAAGGCATCAAAGAATCTATGGACACCAGGAGGACCCTGGTGTGATGTAGAACTTTTTGACACTGCTTCCAATGCCACTGGCATGTGACCATAAACACCTAGATATCAGGATATCAGGTCAATTCCAGGTCAGACATAAAACTGACCAAGATGTTGCTGGTGACTACTCTGAAGTGCTTTTGCAAAAACAAGTGTCCTGTGTCCATAGAGCCCTGGCCTTGGAAGATGAACCAGAACTTCCTCTCAGCATCACAGAAGAGACTGTTCAGTTTGTTACTAAACTGTGATCATGAGTATCTTCCTTTCTGGGTGGCCAGGGAACATGAGTGGCTGCAAGCCTTTCTGGTTCAGCCTGATGGAAGGCTGACACTCAGCATAAATTTTAGAAGTTTTATGTGGCAGGTAATTCTGTGTACAGATGTGGTCTTAGACTTCCTGGTTCCCTCCTGAAACTGTGTTTCAGCTCAGGTCTCTCAGCCTGCAGGATCTGATCAGGCCAGGGAACTGGAGTTGCCCTGTGCCTATACCACATCAGGATCTTCTCTCCATCTAGCCAAGCAGGATTCCCATATCACCTTCCTCCTAGGTTTGGAAGGCCCTCTTTGATGGAGGAAAGGATAGAGCTACAATTTTATAATTCTTGCTAAAAAAGTCATTATATTTGATAGGAAAGGGCCCAAGGCCTGGGCCTTTAGATCCAGCAGGAGGCTAGCTGTCAGGGTTTCTGGTTGAAAAAAAAAGTCCAGGAGATACCTTTCCCCTTTTCACTCAGGAGCCATACAGATGCATAGCACTGTTAAAGTCTGTGGAGGTGCCTTAGAATATAGGCCATTACCCTTGTTTGGGGACTCAAGTCAAGAAATTATGGTTAGAAAAAAAAATCAAGTATGTTCCCTTACAAAGATTAGAAAAGCCATTGGAAGATGGCAGCTCAAATAGCCAATGATTGTCCAGAAAAATACACAACCAACCACTCAAGATCTTCCCCAAGGGTATATGATTGGTGTGCACTCTCTCTATACTCCCTGACTTTGGGAGACTGTGATAGGAAGACAGGAAGTTCAAAGCCAGTATGAGCTACATATTGAGCCCTTGTCTCAAAAAGAAAATACAACTCTCTGCACTGAAATTCTTCTTCAAAATCGGTCAAGTAATTTAAAATATTTCTTTGCCTAGCACTTATAGATACAGTACTTTTCTTACCTGAGTATAATGTCCAACTACTGCATCAGTTGTATTTGGACCTGAACCAAAACTGAAATCATTGACTTCATCATACCAGCTTTGGATTGCATGAGACCATGATGCTGGGTAACTTGACATGAAGATATTCTCACCACATCTTATTTCTAGGGAAAAAGACAGACCACCCACAAAGAGAGTAAAAAAGAAGAAAGAGGAACACACACACACACACACACACACACACACACACATGCACACGTGCTCTCTCAGAATCCCTGCTTTTTAAAATAAAAAAGAGATTCTAATTTCAGATTTCCTTTATAAGGCCTTAATTAGTAATTATTTTCATCCAGACATCAGTTTCTAATCTTCAAAGCAGAGAAAAAGACGATCCATACCTTGCTTCAATTGTAAACTAGTTACAAAGCACAAAGCTGGCATCAAGAAAGACAGTTTGTGTAAAATATAAACCATCCAATAAACACAAACTGGAGACTTTCAGAGCCATCTCTGCCCCAGAGATATTTAACTTTTAAAAGAAGCAGTATCAGAATAGGTGTTTATTTACAACACTGGCTAGCACAATGTGAGAAAATGGGTTTTCCTGTGTAACTCTCCATTCATTTGTAAGTTACAATGAGTTTACATACTGGTGGTCCTGGCTTCTGGAGGACTGTGTTCATAAGTGCACTGGCTTGCCCATCTCTGTGCATTCACTCGGGCATCATTGCTCCATTGCTAAAGAGGAAAGGGAAAGAAGATAGCCATGGAATAACTCAAACATCAGAGTCACATGATCTTTGCACACAGGCTGATATCATTGCAAATTTTCTGTAGGTGTCATCTGATTTTCATCATAATCAATATATAATATAATATGTGTCTAAATTTTTATGTTAGCATATATATTATCAAGGTTCATGGTAGCATTTATAAATAAGTTTTTTTGCATATTTTCCACCCCCCATATTCCTGATCCTGCCCATCCTCCCATGCATGCCCTCTCACCCACAGCCTCCATTTGATGTCACACATGTTCTCTTTCCTTCCACTTCCCATGCCTTCTAGCGTCCCTTCCCAACCCCCAACATTGATCTTCTTAGTAGTTTCATAACCTATGTCCAAAGATACTCCCTCTTATCTATGGCCTTTTCTGTACCAAATAAATACAAGTAGTGTGTCTTCCCAAGGCCACAAAAAAATACTAAAACCTTTAATGGTCTAATGACTTATTGAAATCACAACAGGAATCATTAAAGAGTGAGTAATTGCTGTAGAGCGAGTATCACTAACCATGACAAAGTACTAAGACTATTTTTACAGCTGTAAGAAGTTGCCTCATAAATCCTAGCTTCATTTTTTACCTCATTAAATAAATTTAAGAGACACATGTATTTTGGTTCTGGATCCAGACAGTAGACTATTTACATGAAGGGTCATTGGGCCTTAGAGGAGAAATGTTCTGATCCTAGATTAGGAGAGACAAAAGTGAGCCAAAATAACATAGTAGCTTTTCAATGGAGACCAGAGTCAAAAGATTTGATTTAAGTTCAGTCATTATAATTGATTTAGCTCCATAATACCAATGAGTCACTATTATGAAAGAAATTTAATAAATTCTCCTCTGATCATTGCACAGCTAAAGCCATGGAGGTAGAGAACCAACTATGATCTCTATGTGCATGCCATAGTATATGGACACACACTAACAAACATGCACACAAACAAAACAATGAATAATTTTTAAAGGCAAACTAGAATAGAGGCAGACCCTTTTAAAGCACACAGCAGAAGCCAGATGCTACCCACAGGCTTCAAACACAGCTCTCCAAATGCACTGTCCTGTTGTGAGCCCTCACCATCTTTAGTAAGTCACTACCAGGTGGAGAAACCATTCTTCTCAGTTGGTTGTGCTTGTTTACAATCTCTTCTTGAACTGACTGTCTAGTGGTTGACAAATTCTCAAGATTTTCATTCTAGAGGGAAATAAAATTAAAAGTCATGTTAGTGTATGTTAAGGCTGCATTAAAAGGTGAATGAGTTGTCTAAGGTGAATGAAAGTCATTTTTAAAGTACTCAGGCCAATGTTAGTCATCAATTCTTGACAATAAATGATAAGAAAATCTATGACTTTTCATTAGAATCACTTTAAGTAGAAATTTTGAGAATAGAATGAATTCATGACATGTCAAAGTAAAATCTCTTCTAAGGCTATAAATGTTAATTTTATTTAAGAAAGATCTGTAATGATGGCCATGCACAGTAGAGAACTTTAAGTCATTCACACTCAGGATGTAGCAAGGAAGTGTTAAGGATGAAGACACATCTTATTAGGTGATAGCCCTCTGACCAAGAGTTTGGAAGCTTGTGAGATAATGCGTAGGCCCAGAGCCAATACATGTGAGCATTAGAGAATTTTATATGTAACAAATCTTTGAGATCACTCCAAAGACTGCTTTATCTAATAAAATATCCAAGTCAATTTGGAGACAATGGGTTCTTGAAAATACTTGAGAACTACTGACTTTACATTTCACTGGACAGCAATAAGTCTGCTAAGTTAACTCAGATGATGATATTTAAATTTACCTTTTTCATTTGTGTGGGACAGGTGGATGGAGTGATATTATGTGAGTTGGCAGAGATATAAGAGCCACTTGCTGATATAAACATACTCAAAAATGTGCTGTTTTATAGTGTAGAGCAAGATGTTACAGCATAACTATTGATGGACTGACTCTCACATACATTTTGTCTTAGAGGTGGGATCAGGCTTCCTGCAGTTTTACTTCCCTCAAGTCTCTGCAGACATTGCACCCATGGATCTAATCACACTGCATTGCCAGTGGCTGCGACATGTCCATGTCTCCCTAATGTTTTAAGATCTGAAGGCTCTAATGAAAGTCTTGTGCCAAGAGATCTCTCACAGCTACTGATTTCTAGGACAGAAAGGATGTATATGTTAAAGTTATTGCTTGAAAATCAGGTATAACCATCGTAATATCCAGCAAAATAGACTTCAAACTAAAATCAAACAAAACAGATCAAGAAGAGCATTACATACTCATCACAGGAAAGATCCACCAAGATGAAGTTTCAATTCTGAACATTTATGCCCCAAACACAAGGGCACCCACATATGTAAAAGAAACATTACTAAAGCTTAAACCACATATAAAACCCCACACATTAATAGTGGGAGACTTCAACACCCCACTTTCACCACTGGACAGATCTCCCAAAACGAAATTTAACAGAGAAATAAAGGACTTAACTGATGTTATGACTCAAATGGACTTAAACGATATCTACAGAACATTCCATCCTAACAAAGAAGAATATACCTTCTTCTCAGCACCCCATGGAACCTTCTCTAAAATCGAACACATACTTGGCCACAAAGCAAATCTCAACAGATACAAAACAATTGGAATAACCTCCTGCGTTCTATCAGACCACCATTGTTTAAAGTTAGATTTCAACAACAACAAAAACTACAGAAAACCTACAATCTCATGGAAACTGAATAATGCTCAACTGAATCACCAAAGGGTTAAGGAAGAAATAAAAAAAGAAATTAAAGACTTCCTAGAGATCAACGAAAATGAAGACACCACATACCCAAACTTATGGGACACTATGAAAGCAGTGCTAAGAGGAAAATTCATAGCACTAAATGTCCACATAAAGAAGTTGGAGAAATCTCACACTAGTGACTTAAGAGCACACCTGAGAGCTCTAGAACAAGAAGAAGCAAAGTCTCCCAGGAAGAATAGATGCCAGAAATCATCAAATTGAGAGCTGAAATCAATAAAATAGAAACAAAGAGAACAATACAAAAAATTAATAAAACAAAGAGTTGGTTCTTTGAGAAAATCGACAGGATAGACAAGCCCTTATCCAAACTAACCAAAAGACAGAGAGAGAGCATCCAAATTAACAAAATCAGAAATGAAAAGGGGGATATAACAACAGACAATGAGGAAATCCAGAGAATCATCAGGTCATACTTCAAAAACCTCTACTCCACAAAACTGGAAAATCTAAAAGAAAATGGATAATTTTCTGGATAGATACCACATACCTAAGTTAAATCAAGAAAAGATAAACTATTTAAATAGTCCAATAACCCCTAAGGAAATAGAGTCAGTCATTAAAAGTCTCCCAAACAAAAAGCCCAAGACCAGATGGTTTCAGCGTAGAATTCTACCAGATCTTCAAAGAAGAGTTAATACCAATACTCTTTAAATTGTTCCACACAATAGAAACAGAAGGAACATTACCAAACTCCTTCTATGAGGCTACAATTACCCTGATTCCTAAACCAAACAAGGATACAACAAAGAAAAAGAACTACAAACTGATCTCCCTCATGAACATTGATGCAAAAATACTCAATAAAATACTGGCTAACAGACTCCAAGAAACATCAAAACAATTATCCACCATGATCAAGTAGGATTCATTCCAGGGATGCAAGGGTGGTTCAACATACAAAAGTCCATCAATGTAATACACCATATAAACAAACTCAAAGAAAAAAACTACATGATCATCTCACTAGATGCAGAAAAGGCATTTGAAAAAAATCCAACACCCCTTCATGATAAAGGTCTTGGAGCGATCAGGAATACAGGGAACATACCTAAACATAATAAAGGCAATTACAGCAAGCCAACAGCCAACATCAAATTAAATGGAGAGAAACTCAAAGTGATTCCACTTAAATCAGGAACAAGACAAGGCTGTCCACTCTCCCCATACTTATTCAATATAGTACTTGAAGTTCTAGCCAGAGCAATAAGACAACATAAGGAGATTAAGGGGATACAAATTGGAAAGGAAGAAGTCAAGCTTTCCCTATTTGCAGATGACATGATAGTATACTTGAGTGACCCCAAAGATTCAACCAAGGAACTGATACAGCTTATAAACACCTTCAGCAACATAGCAGGATACAAGATCAACTCCAAACAATCAGTAGCCCTCCTATATACAATTGACAAACAGGCTGAGAAGGAAATCAGAGATACATCACCATTTACAATAGCCACAAATGATATAAAATACCTTGCAGTAACACTAACCAAGCAAGTGAAGGACCTATATGACAAGAACTTTAAGTCCCTGAAAAAAGAAATTGAAGAAGATGTCAAAAAATGGAAAGATCTCCCACGCTCATGGATAGGCAGGATTAACATAGTAAAAATGGCAATCTTACCAAAAACAATCTACAGATTCAATGCAACCCCCATCAAAATACCAACACAATTCTTCACAGACCTGGAAAGAAAAATACTCAACTTCATATGGAAAAACAAAAAACCCAGGATAGCCAAAAGAATCCTGTACAATAAAACAACCTCTGGAGGCATCACAATCCCTGACTTCAAGCTCTACTATAGAGCTACACTAGTAAAAACAGCTTGGTACTGGCATTAAAAACTGACATGTGAGCTAATGGAATCGAATTGAAGACCCTGACATAAATCCGCACACCTATGAACATAAAATTTTTGACAAAGAAGCCAAAACTATACAATGGAAAAAAGAAATCATCTTGAACAAATGGTGCTGGCACAACTGGATATCAACATGTAGAAGGCTGCAAATAGATCCATATCTGTCACCATGCACAAAACTTAAGTCCAAGTGGATCAAAGACCTCAACATAAATCCAGCTACTCTGAACCTGCTAGAAGAGAAAGTAGGAGGAAGTAGTCTTGAACACATTGGCATAGGAGATCACTTCCTAAATATAACACCAGTAGCACAGACACTGAGAGAAACAAGCAATCAATGGGACCTTTTGAAACTGAGAAGCTTTTGTGGAACAAAGGATAGGGTCAACAAGGCAAAGCAACAGCCTACAGAATGGGAAAAGGTCTTCACCAAGCCCACATCTGACAGAGGACTGATATTCAGAATATATAAGGAACTCAAAAAATTAGACATCAAAATGCCCAACAGTCCAATTAAGAAATGGGCTATAGAACTAAACAGAGAATTCTCAACAAAGGAAACTCAAATGGCTGAAGGACATTTAAGGAATTGCTCGACATCCCTAATTATCAGGGAAATGCAAATCAAAACAACTCTGAGATACCACCTTACGCCTGTCAGAATGACTAAGATCAAAAACACTGAAGACACCTTATGCTGGAGAGGATGTGGAGCTAGGGGAACTCTCCTCCACTGCTGGTGGGAATGCAAGATTGTACAACCCCTTTAGAAATCAATATGGTGCTTTCTTAGAAAATTGGGAATCCATCTCCCCCAAGATCCAGCTATACCACTCTTGGGCATATACCCAAGGAATGCTCAATCATACCACAAGGGCTATGTTCATATCACCATTGTTTGTAATAGCCAGAACCTGGAAACAACCTCGATGCCCTTCAACTGAAGAATGGATAAATAAAATGTGGTACATATACAAAATGGAATACTACTCAGCAGAGAAAAACAATGACATCATGAGGTTTGCAGGCAAATGGATCTAGAAAAAATCATCCTGAGTGAGGTAACTCAGACTCAGAAAGACAAACACGGTATGTACTCACTCATAGGAGGATACTAGATGTAAAACAAAGATGACTAAACTGCTATTCACAACTCCGGGGAGGCTACGTAGAGAGCAGGACCCCGGAAAAGACACAGGGATCACCCAATGACAGAGAAATAGATGAGATCTACATGGACAACCTGGGTGTGAGTGGGGGTAATGAAGGGCAAGGGTCGAGGGAAAGAGAGCTGGGGGGAGCAGGAGTTCCCAGCTGAATCAAGAACAGATGGGAAGAACAAGGAATAAGAGACCATGGTAAATGGAGGCCACATGAGAATAGGAAGAAGCAGGGTGCTGGAGAGGTCCACAGAAATCCACAAAGATACCTCCACAATAGACTACTGGCAATGGTCGAGAGACAGCCTGAAATGACCTACTCTGGTGATAGGATGGCCAAACACCCTAATTGTCGTGCTAGAAACCTCATCCAATGACTGAGGGAACCGGATGCAGAGATCCACGGCCAGGCCCCAGGTGGAGCTCCTGGAGTCCAATTGGCGAGAAAGAGGAGGGTTTGTATGAACGAGAATTGTTGAGACCAAGGTTGGAAAAAGCACAGGGACAAATAGCCAAACGAATGGAAACACATGAACTATGAACCAATGGCTGAGGAGCCCCCAACTGGATCAGGCCCTCTGGATAAGTGAGACAGTTAATTAGCTTGATCTGTTTGGGAGGCATCCAGGCAGTGGGACCGGGACCTGTCCTCAGTGCATATGCTGGCTGTTTGGAACCTGGGGCTTATACAGGGACATTTGGCTCAGCCTGGGAGGAGGGGACTGGACCTGCCTGGACTGAATCTACCAAGTTGAACTCAATCCTCAGGGGAGTCTTTGCCATAGAGGAGATGGGAATGGGGGGTAGGCTGGGGGAAGGCGGGGGTGGGGGAGAACAAGGAATCCGTGACTGATATGTAAAATTAAATTAAATTATAATATAAAATAAAAAAATTAAAAAACTGAAAAAAAGGGGAAAAACGAAAATCCTCACATTTTATTTTAATGTAAAGTAACAATATTCCCAGCTGTTTATTTATTAAGAGAAGGACATCATTTTCTAAAACATTTTTAAAATTAACTGTATATGTTTGAGTCCAAGTACAGGTTTCTGTACATGAGTGCAGTACCAGTCAGTAGAAGCCTTAAGGGAGTATCAGATTCCCTGGAGTGTGAGTTACATGTGGATGTAAGCCTTCTTAGGTGGATGCTGGGAAACAAAGGGTCCTCTTCAAGAGAAGTAAATGTTCTTATCCACCAAGCTATTTCTCCAACCCCTCACCCCCAGATGGTTCATTTTAACCTGAAAACTCGATCTAAAGATGTTTTATTTCTAAATACAAAATGTATGGCTTCTGTGAAAGCCGTTATTATTTTCTGCTTGTTATTCTACCTTCCCTGGTAGCTAAAAATTCCATGAAACAATACATGTGCTTACATTTTCTTAACAGGCAATTGTACAGATTTAAAGAAAAACATACTAGAAACACTGAAATGTGAGAATAAAATGTTAAAGGGTTTGTTTTGGATAGAAATGTGACCTAATAATTACAACACCACAAAGTAAAACCAAAAGAAACAACAATAAGTGACTCAGAGAGATGAATCAGTTCTCCATGGTAACTCTCAAAGAAACCTTCATTAATAAAACATGGCTTGAATGTCTCTGCTGTTTGGATCTTGAAAATTTATAAAGAATATCAATAGTCCGAACAGAGAAGGGAGGGGAAAGGGATAAAGGGAAGGAGAAGAGATGGTTCAAAAGTGCCATAAAATACAATCTTTTTAGGAAAGAAACTGAAAATTCAAACAACTTGAAAGAACACCTAGATAATAGTCTCCAGAAAACTAATTTGATTATGGTAACAAAAGACATATAACTTATATTCCAAAACAGGTTTATCCAGTTATTGGCACTCCTTACTCTTGAGGAATTCTAGTAGTCTTCAATGCAGAAGCCAAAGAAAAGTATGAGGGCTACAGCAATGCCCAATGCTTCCAACTTTAGTAGCTTTCTAACTAAGGGGAGAGAATCTTTGCAAGTACTACACACTCCATCATTAAAGATGACTGAGCCTCATCTGGGATTGTCTAAGCATAAGACCATATTATAAATAACAAATATTTGGCTCATGTGCATACTTTTTGCATAACAGATGTACTTAACAACTCTGGTGTGTGTGTGTGTGTGTGTGTGTGTGTGTGTGTGTGTGTGTGTGTGTGTGTGTGTGTATTGCTGAGAATCAAAGTGACTTACTCCACACTTTGGCCTTTTATAGTATTGAAGAGTGATCTGATGGCTTCCTAGCCTTCATAGTTACCTAAATTGTTCTGATAAGATACTAAACCTTACCCATACCTCATAGTCATCTTGAAGAAGGGATGGGGGTAACACAGCAGCCAGGAACAACAATAATGGGAATAATGTCATGTCTATAAACAAAGAAGAGAAAAAATCAGCATTTAAATGTTTAGTCCTTGAGTTGTGAGTAATGCAGAAGGTATGGCAGAAGTAAGAGATACATATCCCAGATTTACTAGCACTGTAACAAGGAGGACACAGTATTTATATCATCAAAATGATAATAAAATCAACTCAAGAAGCCTGCTGCCAGCTGGTGCAATAAGGAATAAATCAAAATGCCTAAATGAAGCTCCTGGAACCATGCACCTATGAATGATGTGGGTGGTTAGTGTCTCCTCCCCTGTCACACTCTAATCCATGGAGGTCCTCTCTTCAGAGTCTAGAAATTTAGGAATTCTTCCTTTATCCTTTCAAGAGTAGCAAAAGCACCCAGCTATTACCATGGCAGAGCACTACTATGACATGATTGAACCTTGTTTGATATTTCAAGCTCTGCCTACTCTATTATAGGATGTTTGTTTGTTATTCATTCATTAAAAGGTTTTCTTTTCTTCTTGAGACAAGATTTCACTATGCAGCCCAGTCTAGCTTCAAACTTACACCTTTGCCTCCTAGTCTCAAGTGTTGAGACATATCTGTACATTACCACACACAACTCTGTCATATTTTTAAATCAAAGTCCTTAACTCGGCTCATGTGTTCAGTGTACTAACACATTTATTCTCAAAAACTAGTCCATAATACCAAGACTGAAAATCTTAGTCTTTCATCATCATATTTTACATATAATGATAAATGAATGATAAATTAATGTCATGTTCAACAAGAGGGAAACCATTTAAATAATTTGGAACACATTCTTTTATTAAGGGTATTAGGTAAAACACACATGCGTGTACACACACACACACACACACACACACACACACACACACATACTTGAATGTGTGCTGGTATGCATGTCTACATATATGCGTATGTGTGGAGACCTGAGGCAAAAATTAGGTGTCCTCAATTGCACCCTACCTTATAAGTTGAGACAGGATCTGTGAGGGAGCCCCAAGCTCATCATTTCAGTTAGTCTGTCTGCACAGCTTGCTCTGGGTATTCTCTGTCTCTACCTTCTGCCTGCACTGAAGTTATTAGCATGCAGTCACAGCCACCTGGCTTTTACATGGGTTCTGGAGATTTAAAGTCTGGCTCCCATGCTTGTAAAGCAAGTGTATTTTCTACTGAGACATACTGCTAGCATCTACTGCTTGTTTTTAATGATTTCTCCTAACCAGTAAGAAAGGTTTTTCTTATTCTATAATTAATAAAGGCCTATATACATTAATGCAATGCATAAATAGGTAATTCTAATGAAATTTTCCAAGACAGCCTTTGTCCAATTTAGGCACACAAAATAGCATAGACTATGTTTGGTGTCACTTGTTATGTGGCTCTCTTTGAGCTTCATTTAAAACTCATAAAAACCTTGTAGTGGGTTACTCTGACTCAATATCTTCCTTTACACGTGAGCAAAATCAGTGTTAGAGATTTAATACTGACATGTCATAAGAATTTTGGGATCACAACTGAAATCTAAGCACTGGCTCTGTGGTGTCAAAGCATTCAGTTACAAGAGCCAGAGATTGTGGTTCTTTAGAAGATTATGGAGACAAGGAAATATGTCGATCAAACCCCAGCAGAGGTGCCTGGGTGAGTGCATTACTGGAAGAATCACCTGGTAACTAGTCACATTCTCCTGAGTATCTACTGTAATATTTTCTAAATTCCAATGTCATATTAAATCATCACTCAGGTTGCTTTGTCATGTTTCTCTGAGCTATGAATCAGTCAGCACAGAACATAAATTCTACAGAACAGCTAGAAGTCATTATGGACACAATCTGGACAAATATCCTGTAAGAACAACAGCCTTGTCAATTCCTGAAAAGCATTCTTTTTTTTTCCATTTTCCAAGAATAAATACCCCTGCTTCCTTGAATTTGCAAAGATGTGGCACTGGACTTCTGAGCTGTGCCTGATCTACAATACTTGAAATTTCTACACACACTTATGCAAATTACCCCTGCCTTTTGTAAAATGAGCTATCTCACCTTCAGGATTGAGATTTACCACAAAGCAGTCTATTACTAAATAGCTCTCAGGATTGACATTTATTGTAACTTTACTGCTTTTGATCCAACATCACAAGTTAAGCCAGATTGGCAGACACTGTAGGTTCAGATGTCATCTAGAAGAGTACATCAATTCAGCACATGAAGAAAAGCATCAATAAATATCCTTTGAATTACAATCTTCTCCAAAGTCATATAATTCCCTTTTAATTGATATTAAGTAGTATCATAATATCCTAATATTCTCCAGAATCACTACTTGTCTACCCAAAACACAAATATCTATGAGGGAAACTGCTTTGTCATATAAGATATACACACAATTTATATATATATATATATATATATATATATATATATATATATATAAAGAACCTACAAGCTACCTCAGTATATTCACCTATGATCAGAACCTACAAACTACCTGAGTATATTCACCTATGATCAGAATAATAAAATGTTGTGTTTTCTGCGTGTTTTGAGTGTATTTTATGGACCAGATATATATTCTGATGATCACCAATAAAATATTTATTTCAAGTTCAGATCTATAATGTTGAGTTGGAGAATTTAAAATCATTAACAAGGCTACCTTCTCATCCACAGTCTAATATTTGCATTAGAGCACAGAAAAGTTCCTGCAACTCATAATTGAAGTTCTAGTAAAGATATCTCTAATATAACTACAATGAAAAGTCATAGAAATTATTTCTGATTTTAGAATAAAGAAATTCATTCCCACATCTCTGCAAAAAAAAGCATTTCCAGGTTAAAAATAAGCTACTTAAATCATGTATACTTAGCTTTACAAGACTAAATAAAAACAGTTTTACTCAACAAAATCATCAATACAGATCTAACAACAGTCCAAATGTGCAAACATTAACTATAACCTTTTGCTGCTGATGAGTTATAAATGCACTGGCATCAGGAGATTCATCTTAAAATAAAACAGTGCTACTTACGGCTGGTGTCTGAGCTGAATGAGGTGTTTGTTCTGCTGGAAGAAGAAAGGTGGTGACAGACAAGAGTCGGAACTGTCTATATGTACTCTACCTATTTCCTGCTTTGACACAGTCTGGTTGTGCAAGCACATCTTGGTTAACAAGGTATGACACAGGATCTGTCATGGCAGATTTTATAGCTTGTCATCTAACTGAAATTTTGACATCATATGGTGACTTTGTATATGGCTATCAGAAACAAATTATTAGAGAATTTTGCTAGCTCTTGAGTGCTCATCTAGTGTTATAATGAGTGTGTGTGTATATATATGTATGCATATATATATATATATATATATTTGTCAGTAGATGCTTTGAAAAATCTTAACAAACTCATTTTCATCTTATCAGAGCTGTATTTCTCTCTTTTAAGGGGGCTGCAGAGGTGACTCAGTGGTTAAGAGTAACTTATGCTCTTACAGACAATAATAGGTTTCTTCCACCCCTGTCATTTGTCTCACTACTGCTTGTAACTCCAGCTCCAGGGACCTGACACCTTCTAGTCTCCCTGAACACTTTATTCACATGCATATACCTCTACACTGAAACAAATACATACATATATATGTATAATTTTAAAAAATAATTCCTTTGAGAGTAAGTGTTAGATTATATTTTTATGATCTCTAGAGAGTTCAAGATGTCTTCACAGTTATCTAAAGCATCCATAACTAATTATTGGACCATAGTGCATTAGAAAATAATTGTGTCCTTTACCTTTGTAAATTCAATGTGATAGTGCCTTACAGAGTATGTTGGAAAAGAACCCCATAGCTCTCTGGTACTTTTAAGGTCCTAGGTATTAGTTTTTATTTTCTGGTTGAGTGAAGTTGAATACAATATTGAGCAACATATCAAATTGCTATCATTTGAGTGTGAAGATCCACACAACGTTTTGTGATTTCTAAGCTTGTTTCGACAACATAAAAATGAAGCAGGATAGACAAACAACAAGCTTCCTAGGCAATGACGTTAAGAAATCTTTTTTGATCAATAAGCAAGAATAAATTATGCAATCACGAGTAGTACATGCATAGCACTGAGAGGCATTTCTGGAGGCTCATGTTGTCATATACACTATAATAAGTCATGCATAATTCAATAATCTCTTCAAATTTTCTTACTTATCTTTAAGTTCACTGATTTATGTGAAAAAGACGTACCAGAGAAGAGAATCTACTCAACACATGTTTGAATTATATTTAATAATAGGCTTACCTATTAGACACATTTATAAGATAATCTTTAAGCTCAGGGTGGACTTGACCATAAGAAATGAAAGGCTCACAGGTTGCTTAACTCTCTTTCATCACCTCCTCATGTGTATTTTTTAAATATACAAGTGAGAGCCAGGTGGTAATTGTGCACCCCTTTAATCCAAGCACTCAGGAGGCAGAGTTAGGTGAATCTCTGTGAGTTTGAGGCCAGTCAGGTCTACAGAGTGAGTTTCAGGACAGCCAGAGCTACACAAAGAGAAACCCTGTCCCCCAAAAACAAATAAATAAAAAAAAATAGATATACAAATGAAATATAAGCTCTAAATAAGTAAATAACATTCCTGGATCACATTACCTTCAGATACGCTGTCTCTGTTTCCAGCTTTCTATGAAAGAATGTGTCAAGAGTGTGATCATCAGGCCCTCTGAATGAGTGAGACAGTTGATTGGCTTGATCTGTTTGGGAGGCATCCAGGCAGTGGGACCAGGTCCTGTGCTCATTGCATGAGTCAGCTGTTTGAAACCTGGGGCCTATGCAGGATTGCTTGGCTCGGCCTGGGAGGAGGGGACTGGGCCTACCTGGACTGAGTCTACCAGGTTGATCTCAGTCCGCGGGGGAGGCTTTGTCCTGGAGGAGGTGGGAAAGAGGGGTGGGCTGGGGGGAAGGTGAAGGGGGCAGGAGGGGGGAGAACAAGGGAATCCGTGGCTGATATGTAGAACTG